TAGCTGTATGTTAAAAAGATATGTGCCAAATTGCCAAGTTTCTTGAATGGTGTAGTTTAGAACCACTTTTTAGGATGTACAGAAACTAACAAACAAGCATGGTGCCCAATAAACAAGACAGATTCAAAGCTATCTATTGTGAGATTTTTCCAGGAAGCCTGTGACACACTATATCCAGTAGCACTGAGCAATTTCTAAGTGAACTCTGGAGTTGCTGACCCTGCCATGCCAGGAATGGAAATTAATCTGACAAAGGCAATTTAAAAGAACCGAACAGAATTTTACAAAGCTATGCAAACACAGGTACATGCTAAATAGGACTCCAATGTTTGTGAATAGGGAAAGGAAATGTAAATAGCAAAGTACAATAACTCTAAATCATTAACGCCATGACTACAGGCATGATGAACAGTGAATGTGGGTGTGGGGAAAAGCATTAAAGTACAATCAGAACATACAGGGCATAAAATAGCTTTTAAGTAACATGCAAAGAAAGAGTTTAAAAGAAACCATAGGTAAATTAAAAGTTAGACTGTGGTAGTAGTCTATAGCTGCAACTTTTGCTTGCTATCTGAGTAATAAGTAACATCACTGTATATTCTTGCTATCTTTCTAACTTTAAGGTCAACAACCCTCTTACCAGTAGTGGGCAGAGAAACCCACCTATCCTGTAATACAACTGGGAAGACTGAGCGCAGTGGTGTAGTACCTCTACACAGTAGGTTCTGTATTCACCCACTTCCAAAAACCACAAACTATTTCCTCATTTACTAGAAGCAATATCTGAGAACTTTTCACTATATTCAACAAACTAGCTTTTACAGAATACATGCGTGTGATATGTTGCTTCAAGTGAAATTACTATTTTTCCCATGGGTATTTTTGGTACATCACTCATTATGATCATTTTGATATTATTCACTTGAGAGGAGGTGTAAGATGGTTAAGAAAAAACACAGAGACAAACATTGGGGTTCAAGTTGAAGATCAGAGAAGCGAAGCAGCCAAGCCACTCTAGCTCTTACCTCTACCTCAGGTGTAAACGGGTGATCCTGTCTCCACAAATCCTAAGAGTACAATGCCTCCAAAAAGCCTCAAACTGCAGTCCTCTGAGTGGTCTCCTTCATCTTATATTCTTCTCACAACCTAGCCATATTGCTCCTGTCTCCACCTCCCCAGTGCTTGGATTAAAGACATGTGATCCCAAGTGCTGAGATCACCTTTGTGTGAGCATTTTGTTCTCTTTAGTGTAGCTCTGTGTGGCCTTGAACTAACAGACAAATTCATCTGCCTCTGCCTCCTGAGTCCTGGGATTAAAGGTGTGTACCACCACTGCTTGGCCTCTATGTCCGTAGTTAGCTTTGCATTCTGAACCCCCAGGAAAGCTTTATTAAATCATAAATAATATATCACCACAAGGAAGAAAATGTTAAAAAGCAATAATGACCTTTTACAAACCATGTTGCTTTGTATATTTAAGGTAAACCATATGGTCTTATAGAACACACACAGAGTGCATAGCTTTATATTAAATTTGTGGGTACTGTGTATGTTTGTATGCTGCCAGACTGAAGCAATTAACATTGTCCATTATGTCAATAGGTATTGAGATTTTGCTTGTTTATTTGGTGAACACAGATGACACCATGGGCTGGGAAGATGAGTCAGCAGACAGATGTGCTTACTACACAAGCCTGGTGACCAATGACTGATCTCCAAAACCCACATAAAGGTGAAAGGAGAGAATCAACTCTACAGAGTTGTCCACTGTCCTTCACAAGAGGGCTGTGATCCATATGCCTCCAATATCAATAGTGAGAGACAGTAGATAGATAAATGAGAGATGACAGATAGATAGATAGATAGATAGATAGATAGATAGATAGATAGATAGATAGACTGATTGATAGGAAAGAGTTCAATGATACATAATAGATACATAGATTAAAGATAGATTATAGATAAGAAATAGATGACCGAACAGGTGCTAGATACATAGATTATAGATAGGTGATAAATTATAAATAGATAAATTGTATATATAATATTGACTTATGATAGAAATGGTAGAAATGCCAGGAGGTGGTGGTACATGCCTTTAATCCCAGCACTCGGGAGGCAGAGGCAGGTGGATCTCTGTGAGTTCAAGACCAGCCTGTTCTACAAGAGCTAGTCTCAGGACAGTGTTCAAATCCACAGAGAAACCCTGTCTCGAAAAACTCAAAAACTCAAAAAAAAAAAAAAAGTCAAAGATTTTTCTAATCCAATCAAAAAAAATTCAGGAGGCCATATGGATGTCCACAGTCTGGATTACGACCAAAGGCCATGTGGATGCCCATGGTTTGTGCTGCTACCTGAAGTCAGGTTGATGTCCATGGCCTGTGTTGCCACTGGAGGCCATGTCAATGTCCATGGCCTGTACTGTGGCCAAGGGCCATAATGGTGCCTGTGGTCTATGCTGTGGCCAAGAGTTGTTTTGATGTCTGTTGTCTGAACTGCTGCCAGAGACCATGCTGAGGTTCATGTCTCATGCTAATGGATGCTGGAGGTCGTGTGGATGTCTATGGTCCCTATGCTATCACCAGAAACCATGTAGAAGTTCATGATCCATGCTGCCATTGACTGTAAATGTTAAGGAAGTTTTTTTTCAGTGGTATCTATTATCGCAGACTCATACTTGAGAATGAGAGACACTTCTGTGACATTCTCTTTCCCCCTACTCGCACCTACCTCCCCAAAAAGAAACAGTAGAGACAGGAAGTCATTGAAGAGAACTCTTAATCTCATTTTATGGAGATGGCTTCTGTGGTTAAGATAAGAAAGTATTCGGTCCAGAGATGTTTTATTCTTTTTTTAAAATTCCACAAAGGAGCTGCATTATGATATTCCCATAATGTGTAAGATACATTTTGACTTTCCACAACAGTAAATGGTATTCTATATTTGCCTCCTCCATTAATCTTTCTTATCTCCCTTCCCCTTACCCTCTTTCCTCATCTGAATCTCTTATAATACTTCTCTTTCTTTTCTCTCATAACTGTCTTCCACATGACAGAAAATACTTGTACTTATGTCTGTGAGCCTGCGTGTTGCACTGATGATCTCATCCAGTTCTGTACATTTTCCTGTAAGTAATGTAATTTCATTCTTCTTTATCACTGAACAAAGCTCTGCTGTGTGTGTATAACACATTCCCTTCATCCATTCATCCACTGATGGCTACCTATCCTGATTCATACCTTGGCTATTGTGGATAGCATAGTGGCAAGTATAGGTATGTGGGCATCTCTATAGTAAGCTTTGATTTCTCTGAGTATGTCTCTAGTATGGATGGAACACATGGCATTGTTTTTAATTTCTTTGGCAAACATCCACATTGAGTTCTATGGTGACTGAATGTTTACATTGCCACAAGCAGTGTATAAGAGTTCCTTCTCCACTTCATTGTTGCCAGCATTTTCTGTTTGAGTTCTTAAGGCTAGCCATTTTGACTGGGGTGAGAAAGAATTACAATGTAACTTTGATTTACATTTTCCTGGTAGCAGAGGCTTTTCTTTCTAAACTTCCAATACACATTAACATTTGATCCACCTTTCTAAAAACAGACAAGACTAATTGAGAACTTATTTTTCAGTCTCAACTTCACTGTGTGAAACAACTAAGGAAGGTCTCCAGATTCTTGTGATCAATACCATTTTCCCAGCTAGTCGTGTGTTTTGCTAAGGAAAGAAAAGATGCTCAAACTAGGACACCAGAGAAACTAGCAGCTATTACCTACACAGAAAGGCAAAAGAGTTTGTGTGTTCTTACAGTCAATGGACTAACACTGTGCAAGATAGCACATATTTTTCTCTATCTTCCTTTAGAATTCTGTGTGTTCTTGGCACATTGATTCTCATTCCCATCACTTGTTTGAAGCCAATGTGATTAGCCTTGACTTTCTCCACAACAAAACTCCACTGAATTGTTTTGTTACCATCAACAGAGTAAACCTACAGATTCCAAAAATCACAAAGGCTGACTACAACAAAGGAGTGGGGTCCTCCTTTACCCCAATTACAGAAGCAGACCCCTCAAGTTCTGTCTTCTTCAGCCTACTTACTTGTGAAAATTGTGGAAAATTATATGGATACTTTAAAAGAAATTAAAAAAAGAACTATCATGTTATCTGTAAGTCCTTTCTGTTCTGTGAGTCCTTCTTTGAGACGTATAATACAATTAAGACCACTGTCTTTACTTCATTAAGGCAAACTCTTTGGGGGATTATTCATAAGTTGCCAAGATAGGGAAATAACTTAAATGTCCGCTGATGGACAAATGAAAGCAGAAACTCTGGCATGAAAAAATACATATCACAATGTTATCCTTTACAAGAATAAGTTCTTACTATTTTCCATAAAGTGAATGAACTTGGGCAATATACTGCGTGAGATAAGCTAGGCAGAGAAAAACTAACACATAAATTCACTTAGATATGGAATTTAAAAACACAACTAGAGAACAAAATGCTAGTTACCAAGGTTAGTGATGAGGTGAGAAATATATTATGTGTATCAGAGGATTACAAAATTCCCCATATATTAATAAGAAGATCTAGAGATCTACTTATAGCATGAATATCATAGTGACATTGAACTGTTTATGAGAGTCATACTAAATGAGATTTTTAGACACTCAGGTGAAATCAAAATATAGTAAATATGTGAGGTGATGGATGTGAGAATTTGTTTCACTATAGAAAACATTGTTACTGTCTATTTTTATCCCCAAAGCCTCATGTTGTACACATTTAACACACACAATAAATTTTCTTAAAAATTAGTCTTCCTGCCGGGTGGTGGTGGCGCACGCCTTTAATCCCAGCACTCGGGAGGTAGAGGCAGGAGGATCTCTGAGAGTTCGAGACCAGCCTGGTCTACAGAGCTAGTTCCAGGACAACCTCCAAAGCCACAGAGAAACCCTGCCTCGAAATCCCCCCCCCAAAAAAAACGATATCCAACTACAATCATTTATTTATTCATGTAATATTTAGCATGGTTATTAAATAGGAATCAAAGGTCTACAAGTGAAGCAATCTGTTCAAAGTACCAGTTGATGAAGAACACTCCAGCTCCTAAACAAAGGAAAGAGTGCGAGAGGAAAGCATACACTATTCACAAGTCAGCACCATACCCTGACACAACTGATCATGGGCAGTAATCCACACGAGGACACTAATATGAAGCTGAATAGAAGTGTCACTGGCACCCAGATTGTGAAGAACTAAACAAAGTCGGTGGCTGAGTGGAGAGGTCTGGCCATGCTTCATCTGCTGTATCTGAAAGGCAGTATGAGGGTGGGGACTGTGGTATACTGTTGGTCATTCACACTGCTTCCCCAGAACCCAAACAGTGCCCACACCTTTATCGTTCATTACAATATGTATTTTCTCTATCTCCACCACCCACTCCTCCAGCTTTATTATAGCCTACCCAACACAGCCTAATATTCTGTACCAGAGTTACAGAGGTACACAATTCCACTGATTCCAGTCACAGGGCATAGGAACGTGCTGCAGAGTATAACTCATTTTCTGTATGGTTTTGTTGGCTCTGTCTGCATGATTATACACAGGGTAGCCAAGTTCATCCATAACCAGGGTCTGAGTATGAATGATGTGAGAGATGAGACCTTGTGCCCGGTAATCAGGCACAGTGCCTGCCATTCGAATTTCTCCAGTTTGGTCCATCAGAGCCCAGGATACAGGGGTCCCTTCAGGTCCCAGAAGACATGAGCTAGGAAAGGTCTGGATACAGTGCTCAATGAATCTCTGGCTCCTCTCGTTGCCCCCAAAATGCCAGTATTTATCCACCAAGGCAGCATGGGTAACATCTAGTGATGAGAGTTTAAACATCTCTTGGTTGCTGTCGAAGAAAAAAGAAAAAGAGCAGCCTAAATATCATGCACAGTGAAATATTTGTCCCTTCCCACACAACTCTACCGTGAGGTGTGAGACCTGCAGTGATGGTATGCAGTGATGGCTAGCCGTGTGACAGCAGGCAGCTAACTTAATGCCCCTCTGTCCCCCTGTTGTCCTCTTTAGAAGGGATGAGTTAATAGTTATTCTATCAGAAGACAGAAATTAGTGGTATAAGAGCTTTTGTCTTACAAATACCTGGGGCTGTGCAACATAAACAACTAAATCTTCACAAACTCAGTGCTCTTCTCAACATAGCTGTAACCCACGCACCCACAGAAAATAGAGCAGATGACATCATATAGATAAGAAAAATGGACAAATAAAGAATAAGTACTCAAAAGCATACACTAACAAGCAGCAAAGCAAGACTTTAAAATCATAGAATCGCCTCTCTCTCTCTCTCTCTCTCTCTCTCTCTCTTTTTGTGTGTGTGTGTGTGTGTGTGTGTGTGTGTGTGTGTGTAAGACGTTGGTTGGTTTCCTCAGTCTTGCTCAGCCTCACTCACTGAACCTGGCATCATCCATTCACTAGCTGTCCAGTAATTCCCCTATGATCCTCTTGACTCTACTCTATCAGCAACAGGATAACAGGCACATTATTACATCTGGCTTCTTTTGAATATTCTAGGGATCTTAACTCTTCGGGCATGCATGGGAGGCACTTTATAGACTAAGCCTTCTTCCTGACCCTCGTATCATGAAATCGTCCATGCTGGTATCTGAGAGTCCTTGGCTGCCATATTGACTGCAAGATAAGGTAGATGTTCAAAGGGTTAACAGCATGGCGTATAACAGTGCCTTCTATGAACACTATAGTGAAAAGACTCCTGTATTTTTTTCTCAGGGTGCATAACCAGAGGATCCAGAGTCTTGTCACAACCACCCCCTTCATTATCCTCATCAGAGCCACTCCACCATCAGAGACTATTTTCTGCTGTGAACCACAAAAAAAAAAAAAAATGCCTCCTGTCCTGACTGTCCCCTGAGAAGTGGAGCCAGTGCTACTCTGGGTGAGAAGGTGCTCTCTGAGTTCTAATGTGCTTTGCAGTGTGAGCAAAGTTCTTCCAGGCACCCTGAGCCAGAGGGAAGGCCCCCCGATTGAGCATGGGCACATCAAGTTCCCATCGGTTTTCAGTGCTGCTCTGTGCTACCCTGCAAATCCGTGGAAGAAAACACATTAATTTGCCTAAATGTTCTTAATTGGAAAACATTTTCTCTGTGAAATGGATTGATTAAACACATAGTTATTAAGAATCAACATAAACATGACATGCTAACATGGAAGGGGAAAGTTTTCATTGAGCCATACTTATAAAGAACTACAGGAAACTAACAATGTTGAGAGCAGGAGAAATAGTCTTCCCTAGGGATGAGCTTCCTAACTGGTTAGCCAACCATATTGGTCAGCCATGAAATCATATACATACAAGTAACATTAAACAGGCTGAGCATGGTGTGTGTGTGTGTGTGTGTGTGTGTGTGTGTGTGTGTGTGTGTGCATATACACACACATGTGTAAAAATAACAGTTAAAGGAAAAGAGTCCATAAATTTTAGGAGCAAGGGAGGCATAAGATGAAAAGGTGTAAATAACATAACTATACTTTAATTTCTAAAACCAGAATTTACTAAATGCCAGGTACTCTTCTGCCTATTGAGGATCTCTCTCTTTCTCTGAACAACACAAAAAGGATTCTTGCTCTTTTTAAAAAGAATTTACATTTATTTATTCATTTATTTATTTATTGTTAGGACACACCTGTGAAGGTCATATGACAACCTGTGATAGTAGGTTGTCTCCTTCCACCATGTGGGTCCCAAGGACTGAACTCAGGTCATCAGCTTTGAAGCAAATGCCTTTGCCCACTGAGACATCTCACACACTCAATATTCTCACCCCTATGGGCATCTAAATATTGTGACAGCCTTTTAGCAACACACAAGTAGATATATCTTTAAAAATAAGCTGATTTAAGCTAATGAAACTACAATAAAGGAAATAAAATATAGTTTTCATAGTAACTGTGAGTGGCTTTTGATGGGGTGTTCTGAAAAGAAGTGTCAGTGGAAATAAAAATGAGACTATGAAAAACAATAGTGTGTGTGTGTGTGTGTGTGTGTGTGAGCGCGAGAGAGAGAGAGAGAGAGAGGGAGAGAGAGAGAGAGAGAGAGAGAGTTGCCTACTGCACAGAGAACATGAGGTCTTTGATCTGCTCCCCATAGACCGTGTTTGTTTAAAACTGGCTACAGCAGTACAAGTCTGAAATCGTAGCTCTGGGGAGCAGGAGACAGGTGGATTCCTGGACCAAGCTGGCCAGGCAACCTGTCCTAATCAGACAAATCCCAGTGACAGTCCCCATTTCAAAAGGCAAACAAACAAAACCAGTATATGGATGGTGCCCAAAGGGAAACAGCCCTTGAAGTTATCCTTTGGCCTCCGCATGTGTGTACACATATTTACAAACACATCAGCACATACATACATGCACAGACAAAAGAACTAAAAACAATTACCAAACTGTGACATTTGAAGAGATAGGTCACACATAGTCCATGTTATGTTTTTAAAACAATTATCCTGTGTAGAGAAGTTAGAGAGCTGCTGTAGGGAGAGATTGGAAGGGAACAGAGGATTGTCAATCCAACTCACATGGGCCGAGGTCTACCAGATTTATTATGTGAGTTCTCTGTATCCGCCATCAGAAAAGGAACCAGTTTTTTTGCTGTTTGGGGCATCATGTAGAGAATGCACTGTGTTCTCTTGACTTTGACCAGCTTAGCAGCTGCAAGGCCCATTATCACTTCATTCAGGTTGGATTGTGAACCTAGAAGAGAGTGAAACAGGTAATAAGTAACTGTCCATCTAGGTCAAAGAAGTAGTCCAAAGATGTATACAAGATTTAGTCAGAAAACCTTGCCTCGTGTGTATGGTTCCTGTGTGTTCATCTTTAAGTTATTCCCTTAACATGTCTCTGGTGTCCAGCAGAATACTACAAATCATGTCTCTATGAACAGGAGCATACTTAAATAATAGCCAATCTTGTTCTACTTGTTATTCACCCTGGCATTATCAATCTTCTCATTGATTCTGTTTTAGGAACTTTTAGAATCAGAATTTTTACACATGAGAACATGGAGCAATGGAAAAGTCATTTGCTCAAGAATCACAACTTGGAGACAGAGCGCTTGTTATTCACCCTGGCATTATCAATCCTCTCATTGATTCTGTTTTAGGAACTTTCAGAATCAGAATTTTTACACCTGAGAACACGGAGCAATGGAAAAGTCATTTGCTCAAGAATCACAACTTGGAGACAGAGCTGGGAAGTTCTCTGTGGCTTTAACTCCAGAGGGCACATCTGTAACCACACTGGATATAAACCTTGGTGGCCTGGCAAGTGCTTCTTGTCACAGTAAGCTGCCATTGTTGCTCCAGGAACAGAAGGTCAGAGGCCAAGCTCTGTCTCCCATCTAGTTGTTCCAAGGACTCGTGAATGTGTCTTCAAAATACATTCAGCTAACAAAAAACCACCTAGCACTGCTTCTTCTATTAACACCATAGCCTGCAATATTTGAAATTGCTTTTGCCATAGAGGTAGTGGAAGCCAGACCATGGAATGTGCACTAGATTGGGATTCTGAAGTTTACAGAAAGAAAAAATGTTGCAGGGTGGAGAGTGATCCTCCAGATGTTCATGCAGGAGGTCCCAGCAGCTTTAGATTGGGATTCTGAAGTTTACAGAAAGAAAAAATGTTGCAGGGTGAGGAGCCAGGGTGGAGAGTGATCCTCCAGATGTTCATGCAGGAGGTCCCAGCAGCTGACGCATACTCCTGCCCCCTTACTTTGGATCTGCAGATGTTGTTTCCAGTTGATAGCCTCTGGTGTGCCGAGGAATTCCAAACAGTTCTTAGGATCCTTAGAATAGAGTTGGTAAGTGTTGGTATGGGGATCAAGGTCATCTGCCATCTATTTGGTTGGGCAACATAGAATAAATGCAATTGATTATTCCATATAATTTCAATATTTTTCATTACACTCTTTTTCCTATTATTTTAAAACTTAGTCTTTGAAAACTTCATAGGTATATACAACACATTTGGTCATATTCACCCCACTCCCTTCCTCAAACTCAAGACCACTCCCAATATATCTCCTTTCCAATTTCACTTTCTCTTTTTTTAAATAACCATTGAGTCCAATTAGTGATGTCCAGATGTATATGGATTTGGGGTCACCCACCAGAACATGGGCAACCTGCCAATGGTCACTGTCCACAAAAACAAAAAGTGGTTCTCCTTCTCTCAGCAGCCACTAGCTTTAGTCAGCGCTGGGAGTTCAGGAACTCCTTTCCCATCCTTGCTGGAATTTTCAAACTCATTTATCAAATCTAAGCAGAGATGTTTTCTTCCAACGTCAGCAGCACCTCTTAATTATTAACATCATGAACCCCAGTCAAAAACTCCACTCTATTTATGGAAAATTTGTATTAAACTTTATTAAATTTCATATATAGGTACCATTACAATTTAAATTCAATTAAAGATGGTTTATGAAGCATTCTTCCCTAAGTTAGTAGTACTCAGGAAAAAGAAGAAAAGTGATACTGTCAAAAAGGCCCTATAAGAATAACTCTTCTTGTTCCAAACAGCCTCAAAACAAACGTGTTTTTTCTTTCTCCCGGTGTGTAGAGTGTTTGTGCATGGATGTGGGGTGTGTATGGAGGTTAGAATACATCTTTGAATGTCAGTTCTTATCTTTCACCTTATTTGAGACAGGACTCTTATTTGCTACCTGTCAAACTTCCAGAAATTCCTTTGTCTTCCAAGTCCCACCTCTATAAGAATGCTGGGATTACACACATGCACTGTTTTATAGAGCTTTATGGACCTTCTAGAGATATGAATCCAGGTCCTCAAATTTGCACAGCAAAATGTACCTAGAGTTGCTTTCAAGGTTTGCTTTTATTGCCTGAAGGTAAGAAAGGGTTTTTCATTTCTTTTTAATTAAAAAATTCATTTATTTTACATACCATCCCCAGTTCCCACTCCTTCCCCTTCTCCTGCTCCCCCATGCCTCCCCCGTCTCTATCCCCCTATCAGTAGCACTAATAAATAAAAGACTCAGAGACTGTTTTCTTGTGTGGGTGGAGGGGGCGGTGGCATTCAGGCTTTATGCTGGACATCAGAAAAGCAAAGCAGCCAGCCACTAGTTCTTACCTCTACCTCAGACTGAAAGGCGATCCAGGTTTCACCAAATCTCAAACTGCAATCCCAAACTGCTATGCTCTTCTCAATGTGACTGGAGAATCCTGAGAGTTACTTCTGAAGACCTTGCTCCTATCTTTTATATCTCTCTAATGTTGAAACTAAAGGTGTGAGCTCCGTTACTTTTTTCCACTGATTCAATCTCCTGTAGCCCTTGGTGGCCTTGAACTCAGAGAGATCCATTTGCCTTTGTCTCCTGAGTCCTGGGATTAATGGTGTGTGACACCACTGCCTGATCTGCATAGCTTGCGGCTGACTCTGCTTTATAAATCCTCAGGCAAACTTTAATAAATCATAAATAAGATATCATCACACACACCCAGTCCTCATAGGGTATAAGGCCTTCCTTGGTGAGTCAACCAAGTCTGGCATATCAACTTGAGGCAGGGCCAAGGCCCTCCTCCCTGTATCAAGGCTGACAAAAGTATCCCACCATAGGGAATGGGCTCCAAAAATCTAGTTCATGCCCCCTCAGATAGGTCCTGGTGCTACTGTCTGAGTCCCCCCCACCAACAGATCAAGCCAGATAACTGTCACCCACATTCAGAGGGTCTAGTTTGGTCCCATGCAGGTTCCCCAGCTGTCAGTCCATATACACGATAAGGCCATACAAAAACAAAACATGTCTTTAAACTGCAAAGTACAAAGCACCACTCTTCAAAAAAAATGTGTATTTCTGGCAAAATCATAGCATAATTTGTTCAAAAGCTCCTTTCAAAGTTAATAAATGACAGCTGGGAAATTCACAGATAAAGGGAAGGACTGAAGGAAAAGTATTCAGCTAAGGCAGGCTAGCCAGAAAATACTGCACAGAAATGCCCTTGCAGATAGGCAAAACTACAACTGACAATCCATCTAATCATGACAATTGAAAAGCAGATATTCTTCACTTTTATGTTTAAAGTATATTAAAATTTAGTTGACTGTATGCTGTTTGATGAGTTTTTAATGAATGCTATTGTGTATGTTTAAGGCGCATGTGCTATGATGAAGCACATACATAATAACAATAGTAATGTTTAATATACTGAAGCCAATTGGCAGACCTGTTGTCTCACGTAATTACCGTTCTTTCTTTGGAAACAGTAGCAAGAACTTAATTTAGCAGTAAACACAGTAAAATTGCACATTGAACATTAGATCTTTTGGCTTGTTTAGTCTACATATCTGTTCATTGATGTCTTAGGCATGTATGTAACTCCTGGCTCATCGCCATCAGTTACATAGGTTTTAGTTTTGCTCAGATATGTAGAAAAACTTTTTCAGATACATAGAATTTTTTAATTCACATGTAAGTGAGATTATAATTTTTGTTCTGTGACTGTCCATTTACCTCACTACCATGTCTTTCAAGTAAATCTATATTTTAGAAGATAATAGGATATCTTTCTTTTGCTGCTAATATTTCATTTTATACAGATACCTGTTTCCCATTCATCTGTCTGTGGGTTCCAGGGTTATTTCTTAGGTTTTATAAATTCTGCAATAAATATGGCTATATAGGTACTTGCAGCACTGATTTTTTAATATTTCTATATATGCCTAGAAGAGGGATTATAGGATCAAATAACAGTTCTATTTTTGTATGGAGGTGCTTTCCTCCTATACGTAGACTGTTAAGTTTTGTCAAAAAAAGAGTATTAGATTTTATCAAATAATTTTTTCTCATCCATTGACATGGCCCTGTGGAGCTTTGATGAACCACACCTGCTGGATTGCACATGACAAGACAGCCTGGCATGATAGTGAGTCACTTCACTTGACCATGGAGTATAGTCTTTTGATATGTCATTGAACTTGCTTCATAATATTTTATTCGTTGTGCATTAATATCAGTAGAGAAAATTACTAATGGTTTTCTTATCTTTAATGGCTTAGTGTGAAAGTGATAGTGGTCTTATAAAATATATGTAGAAAAAATCTTCTAAGTCTATAGTTTGTAATAAGCAGTAATAATCTAGGTATGGTGATACATGTCTGTAATTCCAGAATCTGGGAAGCTGATAGAGGAGGATCAAGAATTTGGGACAGCCTGTGCTACAGAATGAATTCCAGGCCACAATGGCTAGGTAGCAAGATGCTATCTGAAACACATTAACAAAGCAAAACAGAAAAAGGAATACTAGTTCTGATCCTTCTTGGAATGTTTGTAGTACTCAGTATTAAGCCATTTGGTCCTGGGCTTTGGCCTGTTTGATTTTTGTGAATGTTTACATACAATATATTTTGATTACATTCTTTCTCCTTCCAGATTTTCTCCTAACTGCACATTATTTCTCTGCCTCAAAAGAAAAACAGAAGCCAAACAAAAGAATGAAAATCAAAACAAATGAACAAGAAAAAAAAAACAAGATAACAAGCCAGGCAGTGGTGGTACATACCTTTAATCCTAGCATTTGAGAGGCAGAAGCAGACAGATCGCTATGAGTTTGAGGACAGCCTGGTCTACAGAAGCTAGTTTCAGGACAGCCAGGGCTACAGGGCTACACAGAGAAACCCCTGTCTCAAAAAACAGAGAGAGAGAGAGAGAGAGAGAGAGAGAGAGATCTCCATCTCTGTTCCGGGGTTTTCACTGGTTTGAACTTGTGCAGGTCTTGTGTGTGCTGCCATAGTCTCAGTGAGTTCATATGTGTGTCAGTCCTGTTGTCCAGAGAAAATGCTGTTTCCTTGGAGTCATCCACCACCTCTGGCTCTTACAATCTTTCTGCCTCCTCTTTGATGAGGACATTTGGAGGTTTTCATTGCTTCTTCAGTTTCTATTTGCTATTGGTCTCTTCAGCCTATTTGTTTCTCATTCAATCTTTGTAAGATGGATCTTTCCAAACACTTTTATATATACTCTTGATTACCCAGTCTTGGGCATATAAATATGTATATTAGCTTCTTATGGCTCAGTTCATTTATGAAGTCTACTATAGTATCTTTGCTTTCATTTTTATTTTATTCACTTGTATCTTCTCCTTTTTCCTTAAACTAGTTAAGAATTTGCAAATTTATTTTCAGAAAATGAACTCTTCTTTATTCTCTCAATCTATTTCTTTTCTTATATTTGTTATTTCTTTCCTACATCTAACTTTGTATCTAGTATGTTCTAGTGTCTTGAGATGTAATGTTAACTATTTATTTGGGATCATCATTCCCCACACAGAATTATCTTTGTTCTGAACTTCTTTTTTCAGGGCACCATATGATTTCAATGTGCCTATGCTTGCTCAGACTTGTTTATTAGTGTGTGGTTTATTCTGGAGAAGTGTTTTCACTTGTAGAAGAAACATGTTCTGCTATTGCTGGGGGAAACTGTGGTGTGTCAGGTCTGCTGTGTCTAAAATTTAATCCAAATATGGTGTTTTCTTAGTGATTTTGTGCCTTGTTGACCTCTCTACTCCTTGTTGAAAGTGGGTTATCGATGTCTTTTACAGTTGTTGAATTGGTATCTATTATTCTCGTTGTGTTTGTTAATATTTGCTTTTTATGTTTCTAGTATTCAATTCTAAGTGAGTATTTGTTTAAATGAGCATCAAATGATAGACATCTTGATCCTTGTGAAAATTCTTGACTATATGTCTAAGAATTCATACCCATGGGTTATTTTTATATCTGTTCGTATCCAGTGTATTTTTAATCCATGTACATTTGAGATGATTATAAAATAAGAGTGTATTGCTGACAGTTTGTTATTTATTTCTTCTTTTGGGTTTTGATCTGATGCTGTTTTCATCTCTTATCTCTCTTTGTGGTTTTTCAGTTTAGAGTAAATGTGCTTATCCTGTTTCCATCAAGAACAGGGACCCTGGCATCACCAGAGTTTATCTCTGTTACTTTGGAGCCTACATATTTCTGGGTGCACATTAGATACACATTAATTGTAAACCTAGAATTATATTCATTCCATGATATAACTTACCTCTTGAGGACGGACAATCACTGTATTAAAGTCAGGCCACTTGTCCACCAGGGCCTTGAGCTTGAATGGGTTTCCCTGGTTCATGTGGAAGACAGTCCCATAAACCTAAGTATTTCAACACATTGAAAGGTCAGCTCATTACATGGGAACAGTAAAAGCCTTGATTTTGTGACCAGAATGAAGTTAATTTCTACGAAATTAGTGTGTGTAAGTCATACAATATCTAGCCCAATCTTGATATAATATTTTACTACTCCAAAGTAGGTAGATTTTTAGACAAAATCGAGAAACTATTATAATATGTAAATATGCAGATACTTTAGATTAGTGATCACTCAGTCTCACATCATAGAATTTTGTCCTATACATTTCCATTTTCTGCCAATAAGCATATGCCCATATAATTATATAAATAATGAAATTCCCTAATGTATATGAATTTCACATATACTGTACAAAGACTTATCTCCATGTCAAAAACAGAAATTTACATGACAGTGTTTTATAACTGCCTAATAGTTAATATTTGGGATGAATTAAAGTTGGCATGTGTGATAAACTATTCAATACTCATTGTTTAGAGAGAGACTTTGTTTCTAACTATAATACACTCATCTTTCTGCTACCTGAAACTTTAGTGAATATTTATTGGCAATGACTGCAAAAATACTGACTTCTTGATTCTTCTACTCACTTTGTATGCAAGCACACCAGCTCCGGGAATTATTTAACTGCTGAAGTGTCGCCCAATGAATTTTTTGATCAAAGAATTTTAAACCTGGACCATAGACTCTATCTTGACAGATACCTACCCTGTCTCATCAGAAGGAGCAGAGACAGAATTACAGGAAACTCATGTTTTAGTCTATGAATGACAGATGTACAGGTTGTCAGAGAATCTGGGAAAGTTAATAGAATATTATACAATTCATATTTCTCACCCTTACAATCATAGTAATAAAAATTAAATACATTTTCTTCCTGTTGTACAGAAGAATCCAGGTATACCAGTGGTTAACAAAAGAAAATGTAAACCAACAGGAGTCTCTACCTAATATTTTGGGAACTTGGGGTTTGGTGGGGGGTTTTGGTTGGTTGGTTGGTTGGTTGGTTGTTGGTTGGTTTTTGTTTGTTAGTTTGTGCTATTGTAAATGGTAACAATTTTAAATTTTTTATTCCAGTTATTAATTGTTAATTTGTAAAAATGGAATTGAGTTGTGCTACTTGTATACTGATCATGAATCCTTTAACCTTGTTAAATTTATTTCCAGAAGATTGTTTTGTGGATTCTAGGCAATCATGACCTCTGAGAACATGCTACATTTTACTTCCTCTCTGCACCACCCACCATATATATTACCTTAATTTATCTTTCTTAACTTATATATTGGTTAGGTCACCAAATATTTCATTAAATAGGATTAGGGAAAGTGGATATCATTGCTTAGTTATCCATCTTAAGCAAAATATTCCATTTCTTTGCTATATAGAAAGATCTTAATTGTACATCGTACCTACACTTTTTGTCAAATTGAGCAAATTCTTTTTTCCTACTTTGCTGAATTTCATATTTGTCAAGACTATTACATTTTATCACACATCTTTCTGTACCTATTATTGAAGATCAAGCTAAGGGTAGTGATTTACACCTGTAATGTACGTACTTGGGATGGAGGCAGGGTGATGATGAGCTAAAGGGCAAATTGGAAACACCCAGTGTTATATAAAACAATTCCTGTGTAAACTCAAGAGAATGTTCCTGAGTCAACAAATATCACCTGGAACAAATTATCACATTGCCACTCACTACAGTGTGATCTAATGAGGCTTTCATTCCCTCTTCAGTTAAATGTGTATGGTATGTGCCCCCTTGCCTCAGGGTGATATCAACTAAATATTAGGCCACAAAGAGGATACCTGTCCCAGGACACAGCTCAGTAAATGTTCCTTCTCTTTCCCACCTTTTTCTTAGACACTTAATAGTCCCTTTTCCACGAGAATGTTCCATGTTCACCTTTAAAGACTCAGGAAGGTGTTTCCTTAAGGATTTCTCCAACATCTGCAACATCTGTGGATTTCGCAAATGGAGCATCTTGGCAGCCGCCTTGTCCTAAAGAAAGGATTAAGAAAAGTCTAAGATATCTGCTGGGAGATGGTATCTTCCATATATTTGATGGCTTGAATAAGAATGGACAGCATAGGCTCATATATTTGAATGCTTAGTCATCAGAGCGTGGCACTACTGAAAAGGATTGGGAAGTGTGGCCCTGTTGGAGGAAGTAGGCCACTGGAGATGGGCTTTGGAGTTTCAAAAGCCTAAGCCAGGCCTAATGTCTTGCTCTTCCTCTTCCTGCTGTCTGTGGATCTGGTTGTAGAACTCTCAGCTGCTTCTCCAGCACCATGACTGTCTGCATAGTACCATGTTCCCTACTGTGATCGCAATGGACTAAATCTCTGAAACTGTAGGCAAGACCCAATTAAATATTTTCCTTTATAAGAGCTGCCATGTTGTGGTGTCTCTTCACAGCAAAAGAGCACTGAATAAGACAATCTATAACAGGAAAGCTATACCCAGGACATCTCAACAACATGGTTACAAAAATAAGACCTGAAAAACTGACAGTGTCAGCTGACATGCCAGTGTAGATAGGGGAATTCTCACAAGGCTTCTCCCCCAGATGATGCTCTAAAGATGATCATTGATGCTGACAGCGGAGGAATTAGTCTTCCCCAGTAATGAGTTATGTCAGCCCTAAACAGCCATAATCAGCACTAAATAAACTCAGCAAGTTGTAATTATACATTTTCATGTGTGCATGTATACATGTAATAATAATCGAAGAGTAAAAGTGATGAATTTAGAAAGAGTTGGGATGGAGCAGAGGAGTTGGAAGAAGAAGAGGGAGAGGAAACGATGATGCAAATATAGTACTCATATAAGTAATTTTCAAAAAATTCAAAAAGAAGGGTCAAAGACTGAGAAAAGCTAGGAGACAAGCAGACAGAATGGGCAGTTCTAGTTCATAACCTGAGTTATATTCCTGCTGTTTCATGGGTACCTCCTATACTAAACTTTTCACTAAGTGGAAGAAGGAATAGGTGCCACTGTGTGAAATGATCACGAACATAATTTCTCAAACTTTGAAAATATTTCTGAAGATTTTGCTTTCATTTCATAACATCTACAATTCTAAAAATAAAGGGTGTATGAAGTTAACAAATCTATGGTCGAAGCATATATGGGCAACTTTTGATAGGGGTGTATGTGTTTGTGTGTGTTATAGTAAGCAAGTATTCAACCACTGAGATACATACACTGATAAGTCCACTGACTTTTCTTCTATACAAACACTTGTGAATTTGAAACAAACTGAAAAGAATTGAGATGGATGGGTTATCTGTGTCGCTGGCACATGGTAAATGAGGTCATGGTAAATGAGATAGTAGCCTTTAAGTCTACCACAAAGCACCTAACTCTATGGTTGCTCATTATTTGCCAACCTATCTTAATACCTAAATGAAGGGAATCGTTTATTGATACTGGCAACAAAAAAGAAAAACAAAAGGTGTTTCTTCTGAGCTCTTCCATGTAGATTATAATAATGCTATAGTACATACATCATTACCAAAGGTGACAGTGTGTTAGAATGAGAATTTTGCACATAAATAAGCAGATTAATAGGTAGATGGATAAATGGATGGATGGATGAGTAGGTGGTTAATAGAAAGATATTCGATAAATATTCTTTAACCTTGATGCATTTATTTTCTACATAGAAGGATTAGCAATAATTTATGTATAATAAAACTCACCAATTTTAAATAATTTTATGAGTGTTGGTAAATGTCTATATTTGTTTAACTAGTACTATGATAATAATGCAGACCATTTCCACACACTCAAAATGTTTGATTCCACCAATCTCTTTATCTGACTCTCTGACCCAAGAAATCATCAGTAGTTTTCTGACTCTATAATCGTCCTTCAACAAAAATGCCAATCAAATGGAATTATTTAATATATACTTATATATTAAGTCTATACTGAAATTGTGTTGTATTTTTAATATATGATATATTAAATATTTTGACACTGGATTTTTAAATAATTAAACCCAAATTTTTTTATACTTCAACAGAAAATTTATTTCTTATGTTTTTTAATCAGTGGATAGAATTCATGTATGCATGAATCAGAGCATTTCTTTATCCTTTAATCTTCTTATGGACACTTGGTCTGTTACAGTTTATAGGCAGTTGTTCATAAAATTCTTATGCTAGTAAAAGTACACATTCATGAGAATGTTTTTTATTTCCAGAACTACATGGTATGCCCTTGACTTTGTAAGTAATTGCTTATCTTTTTTCCAAAGTGAATGCATAATCTTTCATAGTCATTGTATCATATGAAAGTCTCATTGGCTCTTCTCTAAAATAATCAACACTTGTCTATGCAGCCATAATCAGGAACCATTAATGCAGTGTCTGGAGCCTCAAATCCTCATGGAAAAAAAAACACAGGGCTCATTACTAAGGCAGATCAAAAGGCTAAGGCCAACATATATTTCAACAGATCAACTTTCCACAGGATTGGCAATGCTGGATTTTACCCAAACACTGTGAATCAGCAAAAAGAGTGGTTGAAGAAATTCTCCTAATACAGATTAGTATGGATGGATGGATGCATGGGGAGGGGCAGAAGGAAGATCGGGGAGGTGGTAAGAAAAGAAGAAGGGGGAGGCTACAGTCTAGATGTAAAATTAATTAATTTATTTATTAATTTCTTAAAAGAAAATGAAAAAAGAAATCCTTCCAACCTAATTTGTATTTGGTAAACAACCCACGAGAAGGACCATCCTCCCCATCTCACATGGGTCTTGAATGAGCCCTTCTTGTTCACCCAGGACAGTGATAAATGCAGACCTTCAAAATCCCCATATTTTGCTTCATTAATGATGAGCTGAACTCATTAATCACCTAGAAAGTAATTGTTAACTACACAGATCAAATTTGTCAACTTACCCCTGCTCAGCATACAGTACCCCTTCCCCCAACAGCTTCCACCAAAATAAACTGAACTCAGGTGAAATGTTCCCTGACCCCTAACAGACACTGTTGCTTGGTCCATGTCTCTGCACAAAGTTCTCTATGGCTTTGCTTATTTCTTTGCCATAAACAACTAAACTGTTGACCCACATCAATCTATAAGAACAAAGTCTGTGTTAGCCAACCTGACCCAACTTCAGTTAATATTGCCCTGATCACATGACTGAACTTTCACCCACGCTCAGCCTGAGCCAACACTCCCGCAGAGAAGCCTCCTCCATGCCGTGAGGACTCTTCATAGGCTGGCTTTCACTACTGTCAGAGAGAACACTTCTTTCCCGCCTCTCAGATGTTTGGATATTTGCAGATCATAGGGTCTGCGACATCTCTATCACAATCGTCCCAACCTCCTGCAAATTGTTTTGTAATAATCCTTTGTATAACAATTCTCCTCTCCTTACCTAAGCCTTGAATTATTTCTTCATCTTCTTCTTAAAAAAAAAAAAAAAGCTACAGCCCCATTATAAGTTTACCTGGGACTAGCATAAGAACCCAGGTGTCTGCCATGTTCATCCTTTCATATAATAAATCATGGATAAAAACTTAGTGATTGCTTTTGTAAGGAGTCAACTTTTGGAGGATGAATAAAACTATTTTGAAAACCCCTTCCTTCCATGAAGTTTTATAATTAGAGTAGATCACAGATGAGAGAGAGAGAGAGAGAGAGAGAGAGAGAGAGAGAGAGAGAGAGAGTCTGTGGAGCGTACCTGTGGAGACCAGAGATTGATAATGAGTATCTTCTGCAACTTTTCTCAATCTTACTTTCTTTCTTTCCATATGTGTGAGTACACATGTGAGCACTGTGTGTGGATGCTCACATTTGTGTTTGTGTATATGTATAAGTACAAGCACAAGTGTCTGTGGAGATCACAGGACAACCTTGTTTGAGGCAGGGTTTCTTGCTCCTTCCTGTTGCATCTGCCAGGCTAGCCTTGTGAGCTTCTGGGGTCTCTTGTCTCCTCCCCTCATTTCTCCATTTGGCATGCTGGGATTACAATTCCTGCTTTGTGAATCCTGGGGACCTGAACTCTGGTCCTCTTGCTTGAATTGTTAGTACTTTATCCACTGATCCATTTCTCCAGCTCCTGGACCTTGACTTTTTTTTTTTTTTTTGAGGCAAGCTCTATAATGAAGTTTATCAATTCAGCTATGAGCCCCAGGGATCCTCCTACTTTTTCCTTCCCTGCAATAGGATGGCAGGCTCCACTGTTGTGTCTGGCTTCTTACATGAAGACCTCATGCTTCTGCAGCAAGTTCTTAACCAATTGAACTTATTCTTGAGTTCTCTGTGTAGAAAAGTCTTTTGTTTTTTAACTCCTCTCTCATACAGTACACTCCAACCACAGAAAGTCTCGACCAGAACCACTGAAGCAGAGTCATATCTAAAGGTAGGCTCGGGAGAATTCACTTAGTCTTGTACTCTTTTTCAGTGCTGGTAACAGAGCCCAGGGCTTTGTATGTGAGTTTCATAGCATAAATATATCTGCACGGCTTCAAAGTAATTTTTAATCACTAAGTTTGGGTCTATTAATCATATCTATGATCTCTTTCCCACACAGAATACTCCATGGAAATCTCTTTAACACAACACCATGCTGTAGCACCCCTGACTTTTCTTCATTTTATTAATTTAACACTATCTTCAATGCCTTGTTTTGAATTTCTAGGTAAGGTGGTTCAGTATAAGCTGGTAAAAGAGAAAATCAGAGTAAGAAAAGATACCAAAGATAGAAAGACCTTTGGAAATTCAGAGAATGTGAAAGGAAACCTGAACAGTCAGAGATGGAAATGGATGATCATTGATTAGAAGCAAGAACACTGCTACAGATGAACAGATCCCTGATAGCAGGAAAGAATAAGGCTGTGGTAATACATTTAAATTTAATAAAGCTTGCCTGAAGGATCAGATCGCAAACCTAGCCACATCCATAGAAGCTGGACAGTGGTGGCACAAACCCTTAATTCCAGGACTCAGGAGACAGAGACAGATGGATCTCTGTGAGTTCAAGGCCACCCAGTGCTACATGAGAGAGAATCAGTCTAAAAGAGAAACAGAGCTCATGCCTTTAATCCCAGCACTAGACAGGTATCTAAAAGACAGGAGCCCAGCATCTCATCCTGGATCTGAGATTTAGTTTCCAATCACATTGAGAACAGGATCTCCCCAAGCCTTGATAGAGGTAAGAGCTACTGGCTAGCTGCTTTGCATCTGATCTTTCACCTTGAACCCCAATATCTGTCTCTGGGTTTTTATTATTTGTGCTATAGAAGCCACTTCCAAAAGAACCAGGTGGGAGACAGGCAGTTCCATCTTGCGGACAAACTAGTAGTCCTTACTGAATTCAAATCCAGTTACAAGTTTGTAGGAGGCAGTGACTTCTCTGTCAAATGAGACTTGGAGAACAGTGTCTGAATGCCATCTTGAAAGAGGAGATACTGTCAAAAGTTGATTACTATGGGGGCTGTGGTAAGGGATGAGGATATTCAAACCTTGTGACAATGGAGTATAGTTGCCCTTCACTGCTGGGAACTCTTCTGGTTATATCCTCAAATTGTTTATTCTTATCCTAAATGTCCACCACATTGTCAGATAAAAATTGACATCTCTTCAGAATAGCACAGTTCCTAAGAGAAAATTCTGAATAACTGGAGTTGAGGTCCAGGTTTAACAAACTGGCAGCTGGATGACTGCACAATTATATGACTTCTCTGTACCCCATGTTCCTCGTGGATAAGAGATAATCATAGTACCTGATTTAATGAGTTAATGTCTGTGGTGCGTGAGAACAGTACCTGGAACACTGTAGTGCTCTATAAATGTTGCCATTACTAACATGAGCTGACAGTGTAGTATGTAATCAGATTGTGAATTTTTTATAATGTGTCAACATTTCAGGGTTAGTAACTGGATAGACCTATGATAACCATATACTATACAGGATATTATTTCTCTGACTATTAGCTTTTGACTTCAGAAATACTACTTAGAAATCATGAATATAAGAAGTTGAATAAATCACAAAAACACAAATTTTTATTTAGTTGACAGCTGTCGAAGTCTATTAAATGAGAGAACTATGAAGTATTTATATTAATCCAAACATTGGTTTGCTCATTTCACTTGGTGTAAGGATTCATTCTTCATTCAACATGAATATTTATGACCTCCCTCAATCTATAAGTTGAAATTCTAACAGCCACTGCTTATATACTGAGTGATGAGACTTTGGTACTAGGTCTCATGGACATTTCTTTTACAGACACACAAAGAAGACACCGTCCCTGAATCAGGAAACAGGTTGCCTCTTTGATCGTGCACCTTCCAGCATCCAGAACAGTCAAAAGTGCAGCTGCTGCTGTTGATGAGTGTACTCTCTTATGGAATTTGGTTTGAGCAGCTCAAAGAGTCTAAGACAAAGTAGCCAAATATTGAGGAGTGTGGAGATTTTTACCAAACAGCATCTTTTTCCAAGTCCCAGAGAGATGCATGAAAATAGAACAGTAACATTCCAAGAGGCCAATTTGACATTTCAGCTAGAAGCACCTCAGAAATTTCATGCAAATAAGAAGCGAAGTGGGCTGGGCGGTGGTGGCGCACGCCTTTAGCCCCAGCACTCGGGAGGCAGAGTCGGATCTCTGTGAGTTCGAGACCAGCCTGGTCTACAAGAGCTAGTTCCAGGAGAAGAAGAAGAAGAAGAAGAAGAAGAAGAAGAAGGAGAAGAAGAAGAAGAAGAAGAAGAAGAAGAAGAAGAAGAAGGTGGAGTTTGGTGCCAGAGTACAGCAGGGATAATAGTGAGTATTGCCTAGCACATTTGGAACCAGCTTCAGCATGTGTGCGCCTGCACCCTGAAACAGAAACACATTATCAACTAGTTCAGGGAAAAGGGGGACAGGCACACATTGGTGACCTGACAGTTCTGGTCATGGGTAAAGTCCTCTTGTAAATGGTATTTGGAAACTGCTTACGAAACCGCTTCAATGTTTGGGATTTATCCAAAAAAAAAAAATGAAGAAGAATTTTCTATGAAAAACTGTACAAAATACAGACATGTCACCCTTTATGTACATTCATATATATGACACAAAATATTTTTAAATTAGAAATCCTTGTGAATATAGTTGCATTATAGATGAGGGTTTGTAAACACATGTGTTTATGGTTTTGAATAAGAAATTCACATTTTCTAAGTGTTTGCATATTTTTCATGGTGATTTTTAACAGGGAGACTCACTCGTATTAGTAGTCCAAAGAATCTGACTACCTTAGTGTGTTACAAAATAATATTTCCATGTAGACACATACATATATGTATATATCTTGTCTCAAATAAATACCACCTGAATTAGCACACTTCCTCCCAGTCTCAACTATATTTTCTGTCACAGATCTACAAATAGCAAGCTTTCAGTCTCTTTGCATTTACCAATTCATAAGCCATTCAATCAAGAATTTCTTACAGATCCTAGCAAATTGCTGTGTCAGCTGCCTAAGTTTTACTAAATGAAAAACTTCCTTTCTCCCCAGACATACTTTTCATCACCTATGAGTACTAACAATTTCTATCCACACCCAAAGGAATATCTGATGCATCCCCTTCAAGTAGAGAGCCAAAGGGAGCTGGGGAGTCCCCAGGTGTCAGCTTCTCCTTGTCCTCACCTGCAAAGCTGTCTCCTCTTTCAGCCTCCACAGAAGTCCCCCGGAAACGCAGCAGGAGCAGTAGGTTGTGGCGATGAGAATTTACCATCAGAGTACATGGACTATGGGGTGCTTTGATCCAGTTTCTAGGAAGCTGTTGAGCTGAAGTTCTTAGAACATGTGTACCAAGCTATGCAAACTCAAAACAGCATGAGATCAGGCCCCTCCCTCTGTGGTCCTTGTTCCAGAATCCACTCTGTAACTGGGAAGTTAGCAATGTACATTTGGGGCTCTTTTCCAAAAGACTGAGCAACTTTCTGCTCCCAGAAACCTCACTGTCACTTGGAAACTGAAGTCAGCCTACCAGGAGCTAGAGGATGTGTGGGTATACACATGCAGCAGTATATTATTTGGTCATAAAGGCATAAAAGTTGGATATGTGCTATAATGTGGATGAATTTTGACTACATTTACTAATTGAAATAAGCTAGATACAGGTGAGAAATATCATTTGATCCCACTTAGGAGATCTGTGTACAGTAGGCAAATTCACAGACACAGAAGGTAGAAAATAGAGGTTGCCAAGAGCTGAGGAGGTGGAAAGTTATTGTTTAGGAGGCACAGAGTTCACTTTGGGGAATAATGATATAGGCTGGGGCATAGATATTGGGGACAGTTGCAAGATACTGTGGGTATATTTAACACTACTACAGTGCACACTTACAATAATTAAGACAATGTTATACAGACTGTACCACAATATATGTTTAGATATATGTGAATGCATATGTATGTACCCATATACACATGTATGTGTGTGTGCACATGTACACATACTGTATGTATATAGAGAGAAAACAAAGAATAATCTATTCCTTTTCTCAGAGATCAGGTTATATTCCTGTCTGTGAATCTCTATCATTGTATTTTTTATTAGCTTCATACAAATACATTTTGTTTTTTCTCAGAGTAGCTGAAGGTGATCATTGTTACTTAATATAAATAGGTGTGTGTGTGTGTGTGTGTGTGTGTGTGTGTGTGTGTGTGTGTGTGCCTTTGCATATAAGGAAGTGCCTATGCCCATGTGTATACATATGGAAACCAGAGGTCAGTGTTGAATGTCTTCTGCAATGGCTCCCTACCTTTTTTTTTTTAAAAAAAAAAAAAAATCTGGAACTTTCCAATTTGATGAGACTGGCTGGGCAGCTAGCTCCAGAGCTCCTCCTGTCTCCCTCTTCCCAGCACTGGGATAGCAAACATGCATAGCTTGTGTCTGGAATTTAGCTGGGTGCTGGAGACTAGAACTTAAGTCCTCATAATTACACAGCAAGCACTCTACCAGCAACCATCTCTCAAGTATAAAGTCTTAGCTAAGCAACTTTAGCCAATGTTTTGCCGGTCAGTGCTTTGAAAACTGCTCATCTTTGTAGTGCCAGGCAGGATCCAGAAACCAAAGGTTACACAGCAATTTCCATGCTTCACTTGCCTTGTGGTCTTTAGCAGAGCAAAGTTTGGATGGTATTCCAATTGTACTTTTACACATTATTATGAACACTATAAAAATTCCACTGAAGCACAAAAAAAAAAAAAACAAAACTTGAACTTGATGCCTCTGGGTTCAAAATTTGATGCTGTTACCCCTTAAGTGAAGCCATTGAATAATGATGTCTAGCAAGAAGTCTGGGTATTGAGGTATCTGAGAACCTTGTAACTATGTCTCAAGGGGGGGGGGCAGGACAGGACTGGGAAGGAAAGATGAGGAAGTAGGGAAAGAAAAAATATTGTAAACTTAACTTTAATGCTAGCATAATAGTCAGAATTATGACACGGAAATTCCATGATTTATTCAACCATTTTTCTGATTTGGAAATTTAGGATGCTTCCAAAGTCTTACTACTATCTTTTTTTAAAAAAGGACAACATGAGAGGCATCTTGTATATACTTGTCAATTTTTGGAGCTTTATTTTTTAATTAATAATTGGTACACAGAGTTAGGTTTTATTATGCCATTTCCAGATAAACTGTGATTCTCCTCACCTGCCTCTCATCCTCATTACCCCCCCCCCCCCCCTTACTCCTGTGCCCCTCTCACCCTACCCTTACACAAACCCTGAACATGAACTTCATGAAGTTCACATTCGTGTCCATTGTGCTTTTCCCTGCTTCCTGGACACACTCCCCTCAACTTACATACATGCAGACACACTTCATAAGCTAGGATCCCCAAGATGAGAATGCATGCTTTCTGCCTAAACCTGGATTTCGGTTTTTTGTGGGGTTTTTTTGGGGGGGGGTTGTTGTTTTGCTAATTCCCATATTCATTCATTTTCCTGTAAATTACATGATTTCATTTTTCTTTATAGCTGAATAAAATTCCATCGTATATATGTACCACATTGTCATTATGCATTCATCTGTTGGTACCATCTAGGTTGGTTCTGTTCCTTTACTACTGTAAATAAAGCATCAATGAATGTGGACGTGCAGGTACCTCTGTGGTAGGATATGCAATACTTTGGGTACACACTAAAGAGTAGCTTAGCTGCATTCCCCTGGTAACTAAGAATGCTATTTTTAAAAAATCTTTGTTGTCCATTTGTGTTTCTTTTTGAGAATCTCTGTTCCTTTCATTAGCCAATTTATTGGCTGGCCATGTTGGGGTTTATTCTAGATGCCAATGCCCAGCCCTGACATTCTTCCGAAGTCTGTCTGTTCACTCTGTTGTCTGTGCCCTGCTCTGGGAACAAAGGGAGCCCTTCCCTGCCAGGCAGGCATTCCAGAGCCCAGTCCTCCCCCCTCCTCTCTCCATCTGCTCTGGCCTGTTGCTTCAGTGATTGGAGTCTACAAGCAGAGGCATCTGTGGATGCCACCACAGCCAGGATGATGTGGAAGCCCTGGCTCCCTTCTCTCTCTACCCAGGAACATTTTA